CAACTGTTTGTTCTGATGGCAATAGCTCTTATTATCTTCTTTGGATGCAATCCGGATTTTGACCAGACCGTTAAGCATCATTGATGTCGAAATTTCTTAAATTAAATTTGGCAAACCAATTTTGACAGGTGCGTTCGGCTAAGGCATAATCTCCATAAACACTGCAAATTTTAATATGAGCTTCTGCAGCACGCTTGCGTTTATTAAATAATACAACAAAATATGCCGACAATGGATGACGCTTTCTTCTATATCCAGAGTACAATAGCAAACACAATACTAAGCTAGTTTCAACAACAGTTAACAGATATTGTTATTGTTTTCAGTTTTTATTTCACCTTTTTAAGCTACACTGCAAAACCCACCAAGTACAAATTTAATGGAAAGTAGTGTTGAGTGCTATTCTGGTCAATTTTGACCTAGCGAATATTCAATAATACAAACAATAAGCATGCAGTAAAAATAGAATGGAAAATCTTGTACATAAAATAAGAAATAATCAAAAATAATAAATATTTATTTTGTCTTATGTCAAACAACAAACTTGCATTGTAGCTGTTGATGAACAAAAAGATTATCTGACATGATATAAACAAAAACTATTCTTGATTGATTAATATTGAATACTCTATTCTACTAAATCTAAAAAGAGATGAATTTATATGCATGAAATCAAGTTAAATACATTAATGGTAACAACCAGTAAAATAAAACAATTGTGTTTGATACAATTATAAAAATTACAAACTATCTTGAAGAAACTAAAATATAATAATTAAGTCCAAATATTATTATTTACATATAATCTTAACCTTAAACTTAACTTTAGCTATTCATTCTTGAATAAAAAAAAATATTACTTAATTTTAAACAATCTTCAACATACCAGTATAAATCATCGAGTTTATATTTGTTTTCTGTATGTAATAATGTTACTATTTGTTCTTAATAGTAAAAATTACCATCAATATGTCTAATTAAATAATTACTTCTTAAAGGTTCATATGTATAGCATTGCAACAAAAAATGGTATACATTTTCTGATTCAAGTGTATTTATTACAAATGGTACAGTCGCGCTCCTATTTTGAAAACCGTAAGTTCTCCAGTTGGCACAGTCTAAGTTGACTAACCATTCAATGCTTTCTTGTTGGCCCCTTAATTTTTAGATAATATTCACCATTAATGAAACTACTAATTTTTTTCCAAAGTTTTATTTGAATTTTGAGTTCAATATAGATTGAATATCCAGGAAAAATGTATTAAATTTTAACTTTTCAATAACATTTTTACATTTTTCTTAAAATAATTATTAATTTTTAATGTTTAATAATTCAACCGAGTCCATTAATTTCAGCATATTTATCAATTGTAGATATCAATTATATTTTGCGTTAGTTAAATAGTTAGAGATATTTTTTTTTTAAATTTGTAATCATACTTTTGATAACCGGTTGTATTCCATTTGGTCTATTTTTTTGGTACTAGCGAATCATTCTTTTAAGAACGCTTATTTATAATGATTCTAGACCTGTTTTTGCAAGCACATAATGATTAGGAGTATTGCGTTGCCAAATATAAATTGTTTTAAAATAACTCAAAGCAAAGCACACTAATTGTTGACAGTATAATGAAGCCCGAACCTCTACTGAATATAAAAGAACGGAATTCACTATGGAATTTGACAATTTAAATTTCGTATTGAGAGAATCTGATCTTAAACTTAACAAGATTTCTCGAACTCTATATGAAACCATTTTTTTTTTTTTTTTTTTTTTTTTTTTTTTTTTTTTTTTTTTTTTTTTTTTTTTTTTTTTTTTTTTTTTTTTTGGCTCCTTCACTTCCTCGCCGTTAAGGCTATACGGAGTTTTCACGGGCCAGAGGGTGTGGGCGGGGATTTAAAAGACGCCTCGGCACCGGAAAGCGAACTCATGATTATTTTTGTATCATTTGTCATATATCAGGTAGCCGGGCAACGGTGGTGCTGTGCACAACGCATTCGGCCACCCCGCCCACAAAATGAAACCAATTGTGATTTTTTAACGAAAGTATCTGCTACCTGAGAAAATAAGCACAATGATGAAAGAAGCAACTCTATTTGTATGGGTGCGCCAAAAACAAATAAAATTTATTTATTTATATATTTACAATATCGTAATAAATTAATTTGGATTAAATGGACAAAAATGTTACCAAAGCCTACATTGGAGTTGTGGAGGGCGGAGTTGGGAAGGAACTGTTGATGAAAGAACTTGAATTAGTTGAAATAGTCACTGTGGTTGTTGATTCTTCGAATTGTACCAAAATGACAAGGTATGTAGTTACTGCTGCAATCATCTGAAATCAAACATAAAATTAACAACATCAAAATAGGTATTGGCAATAATTATGTATGAGAGATAAATGTTAGCAGTCATTATAACCAATAAATCAGTTAATTTCAGATAGTATAGTTAAATAAATTAACGATAAATTAGAGAGCTCATTATAGTTCATTTTGATCCCAAAAAGTTATGTTACGGTTGTTATGTTTTAAGGTGTGAAATTTATTAGGGATACTATTTAATTTAATTTAATTATTGATGATAATTACCAAGAAATATTTAATAAAAAATCAGTAAAATAAATTTGTATCTATAATACATTGATTGTTCCAGGATTAATTAATTGGATTTATTTTCTCAAAGGCTGATTTGTGTTTATCATGCTTTCTAATTATCAAGATTACCTGTGATCATTATGGTATAAATAGATGGCATGATTAAAATAAATTTTACTAAAAAAACTTTATTTATTTCTATATTTAATAAATAATTATGTAAAAATAACATAGAAATCTTAATGTGCAAACTTATCATCAATAATTATCCAGTGGCATCCCGAAAAATTTCACCACTAAACCGTAGAAGGTTTATCATACCTTCTTAACTGAACCTTTGTTCAATTTTAAACTATAATCTTTTCTTTTCTAGGAAGTTATATGTTATTCTTTTTTATTTGTTAATGATGACTTCCAATTAAACAACAATTGAATTTATTTGTTGTATTTCCAAATTACATGTTTACATGTTAACGTATCCGGGTATTTACTCCCATCTTCAGAACTACAATCCCAATGGTTTTTTGTTGATACATGGGTGAAAAATCGAATTAAAATATAGTGCATAATACAATACATGACAGAATTGGGTTGTTACATTAAATTTGTAATTACCTTAAATCTAAGGTGCTCCATTGTCAGGTTCTAATTTCATATTATAATAAATTAAGGTAAATAATATCCAGAGCCACGTCATGCTTTTAGACCAATTATTGGGTGTCTGCCATGATGAATACAATTCACCTTTGGATATGACTGTTTATTTTTATATCATTGTTGTTAAATGCTTATTTTTTATGTAGCTGCAATTTTTATTAAATTTTAATTTTGTTTAATATGTCAGCATAATGTGTTCCTAAATGTTTGGTGTCTGTTTTATAATTTACTGTTGTTATATATATTTTTTTTTTTTTGTGATGTGTATGGCTTCAAGTAATTTTCTATTGTTGTTTTTTGGTTCTGTGCCTAATATCTGTGGTTTATTGGAGTTGAATTTATGTTGTAACTTTATGCTGTAATATGCTAAAGCTGTTGTGTTTATGTTTTTTATACTTTTTCAGTTAGTAATGTGTTGTGAAATTCTGGTCCCTAATTGTTCGGATGTTTCACCAATGTAGATTTTGGGGGCAGTTTTAACAATTTAATTTATATACTACATTTTTCTTGTTTATTAAGTCTATTTTATCTTTTGGATTGGTGATGTGCCTGCTCAGTTTTTTATTATTATATTGCTCAAGTTTGATTTCTGTTATGTTATAATTTTTAAGCACGTCTTTAATTTTGTTAATTAGTTCAGGTATGTATGTCATCTTGTAATCCTCACATATATTACATATACATTACAGTAAGGCTCGAAATCGGTTTGTACCAAATATAAGCTCCTGTCATGCTCAAATACCATGAATGGGGTACCGTTGGATTCAGAATTTACGGGAGGTTAGCGAATCACATTCTCCACTTTTGTTTTCTTTCTGAAATAAATAAAAGTCGATACAAACATTTTGCTAAGCTTCGGTACAAAAACGGTGGTAGGTCTGTAGATCGAAACGGGTCAAATTGGTTGTATTTGAAATACTTATTTCTTGTACAAAGAACTATAATAATTACGGCGGTATAAGC